GTGCTATATAAATAAATTTTGATTTGATTTGATTTGAATAAACAAAAAAACTACTATAATAGTAAAATGGGATGTCACAGAAAGAGGACAGCTTCTAGCCACATACATATACACACACTAAGGCTAATGCCATTTTTAGATGCTAAATCTAGAGCAGTGCTACATTAAAATCAGTATGTGGTTTCAATCTCAAAACAAGTACTTTTATGGTTTCTTTTACATTCTGTATCACTGCCAGTTATTTTAACAGAACATTTCAGGCCCTGTTTGATAGTCTTCAAACTGATTTGATCTAGATGTAGAGCTATTCTTTTAAAATTGAAATAGCTACTTAATATTGATAATAAAGAATTTGTATTACAGAAAGAGAAACACAAATCATTCAGCTTACAAAAATTAAAACCACCGTTTAATCCCATTACAAATTAACCTGACTAGGATTTCTCTCTTGCATTGGTTAGTTATGTTGTATTTAAAATATCAGAAGGGAAACATGTGGGGTAGCTGGTTTTGATCATCAGTGCTTGCAGATTTAGACATCTGCTATCATTTCAGTGTAAAATAACTGATAATTATGTCTTTGCTGATGATTAAATCATCTGATTGCTCCAGCTCAGGGGTGGGCAATTAATCTTCTCAAGGGGAAACTGGGACTCTTGTGGAGGGCTGTAACAATAACTTATACAGAGATAAAATTAATACTGACTTCAATTTACTGGCACTGTCCTCCACAACAGTCCCAGTTTTTCATAGTCCCTTAGGAAAATAATTACCCATCTCTGTAACACAATTGCTTGTATGTAGACATCAAATTCAAATAATAACACGACAGAGTATACCTTGCGCAGCATCTCATTATCCCGCACGTCGTTCACTTCGCTGGCACCGATCTCCCCTTTCAATGTGTACTCGTAGAACTTGCCGCTTACATTGACCAGCAGAGTGGCAGGGCTGGCATTGACTTGGCAATTCAAGGTTATGTTGCCACCATCCCGAGGAACATGAACGCCATAACGCAAAATCACTCCAACAATTAAGCCTGGGGAAAAATTCATAAAAACGAAAGACAAAAAAAAAACAGGAGAGAGAGAAGAGTTGATTAATACAGGATTTTTAACGGTTTATGGCGTGTCGCCACAGAAACGAATGGCGAGTGTAGTTTCAGGCTACCTGATACTACAGATGGTATTAAATGTTTCAGTGGGATTAATTTGTAAAAAAAAAAAGAAATTAAACAAAGGTCTAC